CCTAGGCCGAGGTAGGGGAACCAATCAAGCCCCAAGAGACTAGGGAGGTTGCCGTTAACTACCACTAGAGGCAGGTGGCCTTTGAAAGCTTTAAAATTAACAAGGAACTTGCCTTTGCCGAGTACTGGAATGTCCTTCCCTTGATAGTCCCTCAAGGTGAGCTGGCACTTCTGGAGCTGGTCTCTGGATAGCCTGGGCTGGATTCTCTTGAGAGTGCTCCACGATATGATTGAGAGCGCTGACCCCGTGTCAACCTCCATACGACAAGGTTTACCTTCTAATAAAATGGAGAGCGTGATTTTACTAATAGAATGACAGGTGTGATTAGCATGGTAGCAAGTGTGACAATTTAGTACTTGCCTTTGGAGACCAGAATGGGAAAAGGAAGGGACCTTTTGAGCTGAGTTGTGTGCGGCCTGGCAGACTCTGGCGATGTGGCCCTTTTTGTGGCAATTGTTGCAGGTGGCACTTTTGAATTTGCAGGTAGCTCTCGAGTGAGGTCCGCCACAGGATAGGCACAGGATGATGTGTTTTGGTGAACTGTTGCTTTCTTGCCTGGTTCCTACCTGGGGTTGTCTGGCATGAGCGAGGCAGTGGATGTCTGTTTGATCGTTGGGATCCTCTTCGTTGACCACCTCTTCTGAGTGGACGGTGGTATAGCTTTGTTTGGGAAGGGGACCTTGAATCTCGGTGGCTGACTGGGTTGCCAGTTCTGCAGCCAAGGCTTCCTCGACGGCCTGGGATAGGTTGAGATCCTTCCTGGCAAGCAGTCGCCTTTGGAGGTGAAGGTCCTTGACCCCGCAGACGAGCTGGTCGAGGAGCATGTCATCCAAGTAGTTCCCGAACCCGCAGTGGAGGGCTGCAGTCCTCAAGGCGGCCATGTACTGGTTGACGGTTTCCTTTTCAGCTTGCTTCCTCATCCGGAAGGTGAAACGCCTTGCGATCTGTGAGGGCCTAGGGGAGTAATGATTGGTGAGAATTTCCAGCAATTCTGCCCAGGGAACATTCTTTAACTCACGTGGAGCGACGAGTGCTGTGGCGGTATCAAAAACGATGGCTCCGCAATAACTGAGGAAGAATGACTTCTTTCTGTGCTCCCCCGCATCAGCCAGACCAATGGCGTCGATATAGTGATTAAAGCGATTTTTGTATGACTCCCACTTTTCTTCATCAGGCTTGAACGGTGGGAAGGCTGGGTTGGAGTTCATGATGAGAACTTCTGCAGGTTATGCTGCTGTGAAATCTCTCTGGGACAACAAAATGGCCCTTTGTGCTCTTGACAGGCTAGTGACTTCAGCTCTGGAGAGGCTCCTCAGAAACCTCTCCGCTCTCTCTGGGCTAACGATTGAGACTTGGCTGCAACGGCTGTTGGCAGCGTTTTGAATTTCGCGCTCCTGGGGAGCGTAGGCGGTAATGGCTAGCCACCCCTGATAGCGCTTCAAATTTCACGCCTGCGTAGGCGACAGTGACTCGGAATAACAGCACCGCGCTGTATTCCGGCAAGAAATTCAAACGTCAGCTGTTTGAATTTCGCGCTCTTTTGTGTTGAGCGGCTGCGGCTCGCAGCGCTTCACTTTCCCCTGTAGCTTGCTAACCAAGCGGCTACAGACGCTCTTTACTTTCGCTCTTGCTGGCCGAGCTCTCCGACGGCGCGGCTGTGGCTCAGCGATCGAGTGACTTCAGCTGTTGCGGATTGCCTCTGGTAGCCATCCCATCCTCGTCGCCAGTGTTGTAGTTGAGCAATGAGAGGCTAGACCAGGGCATGGATGCAACGAAGGCTTTATTGAAACAATAAAGGACTGAACGTGTTGGCCCTGCCTGGAGCAGGCTCACAGCGAACAGCGACTGACCGAACCCTGCAGCTGGCTTTTATAGCCGGCTGTCGAGGGAAGTCAGCCAATGAGGGGCAGCAAACGCCCCCGCAGCATGAACGGACCTGGGTGGGAACTTTGGCAAGTTCCAGGGACATAACATTGTCCATTCCTTTACCCACATCAAACTTGTTGCCTGGTAATACAGCTCCCAATTGGGCAAGGCAAACCCTCCTCTTACTCTTGCATCTTGTAACAGTTTTAATTTTATTCTTGCTTTTTTACCCTGTCAAATATATTTCAACACAATTCTATTTAAATCTTCAAAAAACCCTTTCCCTAATCGAATAGGAATTGTTTGGAATAGATATAAAATTCTAGGCAATACATTCATCTTAATTGTAGATGTTAAATCTGGGAGGATGGTTCAAGAACAGAGGCAAGACTCAGATAACAACAACAGCTCTTTATTAGTGACTTCAGATCTGAGCAAACTATCCCAGCCGCAGCAGCCCCTTATATAGGGCTGGCTGCGGCTAGGCAGCCAATGAAAGCAATTTGAGTTTGCCGCTCTTGGCAGGGCCAATCGTGGCAGCCCGTTTACTAGCCAATCGCATCAGTCTGTGGCGACCAATCATGATCTGCTATTCGCGGGCCAATCAGAGTTGCAGGCTTTCGAGCCTGCTAGTCCGGAACAGTAGATATTCTCCCAATCAATAATAGTTGTAGTTTTTCCCATTTTATCAAATCTGTTACAATCTGCTGCTTGAGTTTAAAATAGTTCTCTTCCTTCAGTGTACTACATCTTGGTGTAATATATATCCCTAAATATTTAACCTTGTTCATGACCTGTATTTCTAAAACTTCTTCCAAAACTTTCTTTCGTCTTGCTAACATGTTCTTTGTTAATATCTTTGTTTTATCTTTATTTATTTTCAAACCTTCTACTTTTTTATATTCTTCTATTTTTTCTATTAATTTAGGTGCTGTATTCAATGGATCTTCTAATAGGAATACCAGGTCAACTGCAAAAGCTTGCAATTTATACTCTTCCTTTTTGATTTTCATTCCTTTTATTTCTTTTTCTTCTCTAATATTCCTATTCAACACTTCCAATGTTAACACAAAGAGCAGAGGCAACAGTGGACAACCTTGTCTTGTCCCTTTTCTTATATCTATAGATTCTGTTAATTCTCCATTTACCATAACCTTTGCAGTTTGTTTGTGGTATATTGTTTCAATGGCTTGAATAAGTTTTTTACCAAAGTCCATTTGTATCAATTGCAGTAAAATGAATCACCAACTCACATTGTCAAAGGCTTTTTGTGGATCTAGAAACATCAAGGCCATTTGCTTTTCAGGATGTGCTCATAGTATTCCAGAGAGTGCAAAATAATTCTCACATTGTCTTTGATTTGTTTCTTTGCCAGGATCAATTTTGGTCAATATGGATAAAATTATTTAAGTATCTTTTTAGTTTTTCTGCCAGGATTGAAGCAAAAATTTTATAGTCTGAATTTAATAGGGATATAGGTCTATAATTTTTAACTTGCTGCAGGTCTGTATCCTCCTTCAGTATAAGTGTAATATATGCTTCTGACCATGTTTTGGGTATTCTTTTCTTTAGCATAACTTCATTCATAACTTCTAACAGGTGAAGATTCAATATTTCCCGAAAAGTCATGTAAAATTCTACTGGTAAACCATCTGACCTAGTGCTTTCCCAACATTCTCTTTTTTTTAAGACTTCTGTTAATTCCATCATTGTTATGTTCCCTTCTAACATTGTTACAATGTCTTTAGGTATCTGAAGTAAATTTGCTTCCTGTAAATATTGCTTAACTTTTTCTTCTTGAATATTCTCTTGAAAATACAATTTTCCATAGTAACCTTGTATAATTTTTTTCTTCTCCTCATTTCCATAGCAAACATGTCCTTCATTTATTAATTGACTAATCCTTCTTGGTTCTCTTTCCTTTCTCAGTTTATAAACTAGCCATCTGCCTGGTTTATTATCAAAGGAATTCTGTAAAGCATTTTTATTTTTTTGTGCTAGTTCCTCTTTTTCCATTAGTCCCATTTTATATTTAATTATATCCATTTTATTTTTAATGTCTTTTTTTGTGGGAACATCTGTAAATCTTTTTCCAATCTTTTATAATCATCCTCTGATGTTTTGAAAGTCTTTTTCTGTTTTATATTTCTTTTCCTTGTAAGTCTATTATCAAGGCTCTTGTGTAGGCCTTCGTCATGTCCCAGAGGTTCTGTAAAGATGTATCCTCTTTTCTATTTTCTTTAAAAAAGAAAATGAGTTCTTTCTCTATTTTCTGTTTAAAATCTTTTTCTTTTAATATCGTATTATTTGAAGTTCATATAGATCTCCTCTTATATCCTTTCTAAATAACTATCACTGGATTATGGTCTGCCCAGGTGCTTGTTTCTATTTCAATCTCTCATATGTTAGCCAGTAATTCTGCTGACATCCACATCATGTCTATTCTAGACCATGATGCATGCCTGTTTGAGTAAAAAGTGTATTGCTTACTTTCCACATTTCTCTCTCTCCATGCATCTTTTAAGTTAAATTCTTCTGTTATTCAAAAGAAAGATTTTGGTAGTATCTTTCTAGCTTTCTTTGTTGATTTCTGCGTTTTATAGTCCAACCAATAATTAATTATTCCATTAAGATCTCCCATCATGCAAATATTAGCATAGTCCAATTCAATTATTTTCATATGTAATTTCCTGTAAAATTCTTCTTGGTTATCATTCGGGGCATAAATTGCAATTAAAAGTGTTTTAACATTATTGTCTATTATTTCCACCATCAAAATACTTCCATCGTCATTTGTGTAAATTAGTTCTGCCAAAATTGTGTCTTTAGTATACACAACACACCCCTTTTTTAGATTGTGCCAGCGACGTAAATAATTTCCCTTTTTTTTTTTTGTTTCAATATATATTCATGTTGTTTTTTGGTATGTACTTCTTGTGGGCAAATTATAACAAATTTTAATTTCTCTAATTTATGAAATATTCCTTCTTTTAGTAGACAAATTAAGTCCATTTATGTTAATCGTAATCAGTTTTCTTTCATCCATATTAAGTTATGTAAGGGGTTTTTATTGCTCTAGTAGGTCTTAATTCTTGTTGCTCTCTGGGTACACCACCTACTGCATCTTCTTTTTCTTTTTATTACTGTAGTTTATTTAAACATTTTCATCATAAGTAAATCACAATGTGGAGAATACAGTGGTCCTTCCAGTCGATGAAGCTGGGAGTCATTAGAATTGTCTTCTACAAATAATATTCCTTAGGAAATATTGAAATTGTACACTAAGAAGATGGTAAATCCATTGGATCAGAGTGTTCAGAAATGATGGAAATATGCTGGATGAATGCTTTGGCTGATGTTATTATTTCTTTTGTATTTTCTTTTTTTGTATCTTCTTTTTCTTTTTCAATTACTGCTATACACTCCTCTTGGAATTCAATTAATGACTCTTCCTTTCTTGCTTCCTCCTCCTTTTCTCTAAAGTATTCTAAGTAGAATAGCCCAGCTTTTCCAACTGGGTCAAATCTGTGTCTTTGTTCCTGCCAAGTGAACAAGAGGCCTTCTGGCATCAGCCATCTGTAGTTTACTCCTCTTTTAAGTAACTCTTTAGTCAAGAATAAATATTCTCTTCTCATCTCTCTGACTCTTCTTGGTACCTGTTTCAGCACCACAATTTCTTTGTCTTTATCCTTTAATGTTTCCTCTCTTGCAACCTGCAGTATCTGTGTCTTAATAATCTTCTTAGTAAATCTGATGTGAACTTCTCTTGGTAGTCTGTTTCTCATTGCATATCTTGTATAGACACAGAACACTTAATGCATCCCATCCATCATCTTCTCTTTGGTTATCTCTAATGCTTCTGCCAGTCTTTCTGTCATTATTTCAGCAATATTTCACCTTTTCCTTCTTCTACATTTTGAAATCTTAGGTAGAATTCTGATCTATCAATTTCCCATCCTAATGGTTCACACCTGCCCTTCTCAACATCGCTCAATCGAGTATCAATATCTCCAATTTTCTTGTCTCTTTGTTTATCTTCTTCAATTTTTTTGAATCTGTCTTCATATTTCATCATCATCTGTTGAATATTTTCTACTTTCTCATCTGTCTTTTCAGTTCTTTGCTCAATATTCTCCATTCTCTTTTCAATCTTCTGAATAACTTGCATAATCATCTGTAATGTCACTTCCTTCTCTTTCTCCTGTTGTAAAATTGTCTATATTGACCATTGTCCTCCAGATGGTAAAGAGGCTATTGGTATTGAGGAAGCTGGGGCTGTTGTCTTTCTGCTAATCTTGTAGTACTTATCTGTAAAGAAAGAAAGAGAAAAAAGAGAAAAGGAGAAAGGAAAAAAAAAGAGAGCACAGGCAGGCAATTGCCACTCCAAAAAGTAAAAAGGGGAAAAAAATCTTCAGGTACTTGTATACCTTAATCCAATTATTTCTCTTAATAAGAAGGAAACAAGGAAAAGAGCAAAAAACTAAAGAAAGAAAGAATTTACATTCTAGTTCCTGGAATGAAAGGTTGAAATCCAAATATAAAAATCCAACTGGAGGGGGAGTAAAAAAGGAAGTGAAAACTAACGAACAGTTCTAATGTGAAGCCAGCCACTGCCACTGAGTATTCAAGACTCTTTAATAAATCAACTCAAAGTTTCTAGTTCCAGTATTTTCAAGGTCACTTCAATCAACTCTAGTTATCTATAGTTTCACAGATGGGCACCTGCGTAAACAATCTGCCATGCTCATCCCACTATCTTTTCCAGTGCAAAGCTCAGAGTCCTTGAGTATAACACGAATACATAAACAAATAGAAGAAAAAAGAAACAATATGTCCAAGCCTCTAGATGGCAGTGCAATTTTTTTTCCTTCACTTTCACTTCACCCTCATGTATCCAATGCCAGGAACAAAAAGAAAAAAAATGAAATCCTTTCTTTTAAAAAACAAATAAATCTCAAATCAGAAAGAAGAGTCTTAATCAAAACAGACTTTCAAAAAAAATTAAAAAAAATAAAAACAGAAAATTTTTAAAAGTCCAGTCCAGTTTAAAATTAAGAAGCTTTGCCAAATTCCAATAAAAAGGGGAAACTTTAACTAGCTTAATTTTGCTACTTAAACTCTTTTCTCTTCACTTTTAATTTCACTTTAAATCTTTCAGGGTGTTCTCTTCAAGAAATAATAAGTAAAAGTTCATCTCACCAAGCTGACACACTTTCTTTCAATCTGTTCCATTCTGAAGCTGTCCCAGCTTCAGCAGCTTTAATGGCTGCCTCTCCACTGCTGGCAAAAGGGCTTCTCTTGGATCAGCCAGGGACTTTGCGATGTCTCTTGGATCGATAGGATTTGCCCTTATCAATCACTGTCTCTACAGAACGGTTTAGGTCCGTCGGGACCATCCAGCAGGGGAGATATCGACGGTGATCTTGGAGATCAAGATCGCATGTCATACTGCCGCGACGCCAGCTCCACTCTCCATCTCTCGTTCATTTTAATACTTTAATTCTTATTCATTTTTTGGCTTGCCTCCTATACTCCTCTCTTGGATGTTTGTCTTCATCAACATCTGAACCTTCACCATTCAGATTGAATATTTCTCCCATCTCTATCCTCCTAAGTTGCCAAATCTTTAGAGTATCCACCCAAACCCCTATCTCCTTTTCAAAAATATCTTCCAGGTTATTTGATTCCATTTTAAAATCTCGTAAAGTACTTTTCTCTTGGGTTGTTTTATCAATCATTAATGTCTTTATTGTCTTCTCCTTCTCATCTTCTTGCTTTGTTTGTTGGTTTGTCTATTCTATCTTTTCTTCCATTCTTTTTGCTATCTCCTCTCTTTCTTGAACTCTTTGATCTTCATTCATTATCAGTTATAGCATTTCTATTTTCCCATATATGCCTTGCATTAGATTCTTTATAACTCTGTGGTTCTTTTCCATAGTAGCCCTAATGCTTTGAAACATCAATGCCATTTCTCTTGAAATCTCACTCATTTCCCCCAGATAGAGCATCTTGTCTTAATTTAATAAGTCCCTCTCTTACTCAAGTCCAAAAACAATATATTCCAGTCCAATGTTATTCCTCAAAAAGTTCAATAATCATAGTTCTTTACATCTCAAGATTATTAATCAATTCCATTTAAATAGTCCAGGCAGCTTCCATAAATCAAAAGTCACTTTACTTTACTGAAGAGTCTTCCTTAATCTTACAATAGAGTCTGCAGTGATCATAAAGTAACTAGTGATAGAACAATAAGTGGCACACAGTCCTTCAGATGAATGTTTATTTCTCTCATCAAAAATTGTTCTAAACTTGTTAGGGGTCTGGTATATTCCATTCACCAGCAGATGATGCCCTCAGCTTAGGTTTCAGCATTGTTTCAAGTCTTATAGATTTGATTAATCTAAATTTAGTTCAATTTATGGCAGCAAAGTCAACTATTCAAGTATATTCAAGTAGACAGTTCCAGCATTTTATAATGCTTTTCCAAAGCAATGCCTGACCAGTTTAAAGATCCAATTTTCTATGTTTTAAAAGGTCTTCAGCTTTTCTTCCCTTAGCTCCTTTGTTTCGGGTGTAGGATTTTTCTCTCTATGGTTGTTTGCCACTTTAAGAAATAGTTCTAAGAGTTTCTTTTCCTGCATTTTTCTCTCTATGGTTGTTTGCCACTTTAAGAAATAGTTCTAAGAGTTTCTTTTCCCGGATTTTCCTCTTTTTTTCCTTTTAAGGTTATGGCATAAATAAAAAAGGAATCTTCTCACCCAGCTCCAATCACTGTTCATCTACACTGCTCCTGCACAGCTCTTTGTTACCTTGGTGGTCCCAGCTTTTTGGTAGCCATCATGGCTGCCTCTCCTTCTTGTCATGGGAGAGAGAAGAAGCCCTGAGTCCAGCAGGAGAGTTGCTGCTTTCCGCAACCTGCAAGGTACCTCTCTTTTCTTCACTATCCCTACAAGTGGCTTTAGCTCCTTTCGGAGCCCTCCAACAGGGAGAACTCAGTATGAGAGTGCGGAAACCCAGTCCTCAAGTTTGATAGCACCACGAGATCAGCGGGAATGTTCCCATCCAATTTTGTTTAAGGTAGCAATAAAGACAAACACAGAAGATTGCTTGGTGTCCCCAATGATGCTGCTCCTAGGAAAATGATTTTTCATAAGATAAATATTATTTATGAGTGGCATTGCTGGTTGCAATCTCCAACTGGAGGGAATTCTACCTTCAGGTTTCAAAATGAGCAAGGAGCCTAAAAACCAATGGCATCTTTGGCCTTCTAGAGAGACATGGACATTGGCCCAGGGACCAACATATGTTATCTTCAGCCAAAGAATATTAAAAAGTCTATTGTAGACTCACTGGATGAGAACATCTGAGCAAAGGTTGTAGTACCTAGATAATGCTGAATGTCCTGTATGTGGGATGCTATTTCTGCTTGTTCTGACCCCATACAGCTGATTAGAACGAGACAGTGTTTCACCTACCATTGCATTGTTTTATTTCATTTAATTGATATTATTTGGATATCCTTAACATAAGAAAGGTAGACACAGTGCAAAACCTAGGCAGAAAACTTTTAAATTGCAATGCAGCATTATAAGGAATCTTTCATCCCATTACAGCCTTGGTACAGATCCCTAGGAGGCTTGCATCAAATCAACTGATGATAGACATTTTCAAGGGTTTTAATATGCGGCATCTGAGTATTTTCCGTAGGGAAATGTCTACATTGGTGTTTGCTTTTGAAATTCTTTCTCAAACCATGCTGTTAAGGCAGAACAGCATTTATGGAGGAATCCAGCCTTTTTCTCCCCAATTGTTAAAATAATAAACTTTAATTGCTCCAATTCTACAATATAATTACACATGAAGTAGATAATATGTCCCCTTGTCCATGTGTGTTACATAGTGTTTTATACTAGAATCAAAATTCATGTTCCTAATAGATCATCAAGAACACTAAATGGTTTTGGACCACTCAATTTCATAGGTTTTTTTGTGGACACAAAATTAGGGGACACCCTCATATACTATTTTGAACTCTCAGAGAAAAGGCTGGATATAAATAACTAATAACTAGCATAATATAATATTGCTGTTTTGTGCACAATAATTAGGACAATGTGAATTGATTCTGGAAAATAAAACAGATAAGAAGAATATTCTTCCTAGTCTTTTGGTATGCTTTAATCTTCCTAAAATAAACTATATAGTTTCTCATGTAAGTCTATATAACTTACTATGCTGCAAATGTGTTTTTTGTTTGTTTGCTTGCTTGCTTGGTTGTTTTGCATATGCTGATTTGGGAACTTTGCATGTTCTGTCAAATACAACAGGAAATAAACTGGTTTTAAACAAATGGTGTTACTTGATATAAATGTAAATATGCACTCACATCTCCAGTCAATTCACTCCTACCATCACCACCAGCATTCCCTACAAACATATGATGCCAATGGACACTGCAGGCTCTTATCTTACTTTCTATTCAACCATTTCATTCATTTTCAGTCATGCTTTTCCATCCCAAGTACACCATTTTCATCATATTCAGTAATCAACCTCAAATCAATATTTGTTTACATTATTCTATAATTCAAGCCTAGGTAATTTATTTAAATCACACCCTTCCCTATCATGGTTCAGTTCATTTATTTTATCATATATTATCTTTGGAAAGCAGCTGATCTACCATGGACCAAACTAAAGGTTGTGGAGGTTGTGTGGTACTATATACAGGAGGTGTGTGGTACTATCCCAGAAGCAGGCACTATTTGGGAATAGCAGATTTATTAAATTAAATTTATATTAATCCCAAAAATTTCAGTTACAAATTTATTGATTTCAACTGTGCTTCTTGAGATGGTCTTATAGTAATCACCATGTTAAAAATATTTATGGTTATATTTGGGAACTTGCAATACTAAACTGGATGATAATGTGTCTGCTGGTGGATAGTTATTTGCATGGAGTTGATCTATTTTATTAAATGTCTATTTTATTAAATATCTCTATTCTCTCTTACTGCTCTTTTTCTGCCAATTCCTGCTGCCTTCCAATGGCCCTGCAATTCTCAGTTCTCATTCTCAACAGCAATGTACATTTTTAAACATATGTTATCTTGTTGTATCTATCATCTCTGTCTTTTTTTGTCTTTCTCAGTTTATTTATATATACCATACTGTTTTCCCATCATAATCTCCAAGTACAGCATAACAGTAAAGTTAAAATAGTGCACATTTTAAAAAGTGAAACTTATACAGAATTATAGAAATTAAAAATAATAAATCAAGGTCATGGAACAATAATTGGACCATGATAAATTTTCAGCATCTTTTGTTGAAAAATAGACTTCCTGCCAGTTATGACTAAACAAAAGATGTACATAAATCAAATATTTTGGTGTCAGAAAATAACTAATTATAAGGACATAAGG